TCAATTGCTCCACCCTGTCACTCAATAGCTTAAACTTCTCATCATCTTGCAAGTGTAACTTAAGTAGCTTCTCAATCATAGCTTCCAAATTTGATTACAGTGGGGCCTCCGAAGAGGGTAATTGAGATTGAACTTGAGTACTTTGGAAACCTGGAGGACCTCTATTAACAAAGTGTTGAGGATTGACAGCCCCCATTGGGTTACTCCATGAGAAACCAGGGAGGGTGGTTCCTTGAATTATTAGGATTGTAGGTCCCTTGAGGTTGGAAAGACTGTTGATGAGGCCTATTATATCCCACCATATTAATTTTCTCCATAGGGGATTGGGGATTTAAATCGCTGAGACATTCCCCCGAATTGTGTCCACCACCACAAAGGTCACACATCAAAACTTGACCAAGAGTAGGACGGGTAGAAGCATGACTCACATTGTGTTTTTGGACGATGATTTGGGCAAGCTTTTGAACCATGGATACTACATTATCTATCTTTGTTGACAAAGCGGTTAATTGCTCCGCATCATGAATTCCTCCTACAAGCTTTTGTGGAGACCTCTCCGTGTACCAAGTAGATCCATTCATAGCAACTTTCTCGGTCAAAGTACCTATGAAGTCCCTGTACTATAGTATTTTGTTCAATTTAGTCCTTGTACATTTATTCTGTTCAATTTAGTCCCTCTACTTTAAAAAATGATAAAACTAAGGATAATTGTCCAAATCTCATTACGAACATGGTCGTAATTATTTATTTTGGACATACTAATTTAATATATTGGTGGTAAAAATAATTTTTTTTTAAATATTTATAAAGTAATATATGAGTAGAATATAAATATCATCAACGTCACGTAACCTAAGTTAACGATAATATTACCATTGTTAACTATTGTCCTTAATTGCACCATTTTTGAAAGTACAAGGACTAAATTGAACAAAATAAAAGTATAAAGACTAAATTGAACAAAATGCTATAGTACAGGGATCTCGTAGGTACTTTAACCCAATTTTCTCCAGTAGTTCCTCGGCTTGTGTTGGCTCCAAAATTGTGAACGAACCACCCGAAGAAGCATCCACCAAAATCCTAGAATTATCAAGCAGTCCTTCATAAAAAGATATCATCAAACCCCAACTTTGAAACCCATGGTGTGGACGTTGCTTCTTCAACTCCTTAAACCTCTCCCAAGACTCGGTTAGGGACTCAGTAGCTAGTTGTTTAAAATTTTGAATTGCCCTTCTCATCCTTTGAGTCTTAGAGATAGGATAGAACTTCTTCAAAAATTATCCATGCAATTTTTTCCAAGTGTCAAAATGGTTTTCTGAATGTGAGGATAACCAATCATCAGCCCTGTCCTTCAGTGTGAAGGGGAAAAGCCTAAGTCTGATAGCATCTTGAGTGACTCCATTCATCTTGAAGGTGCCACAGAGTCGTAGGAACTTGGTGATGTGAGCATTAGGATCTTCCGTGGGTGTCCCTCCAATTCGATCCGTCGCAGCCATATTGAGTATGGCCGGATTGATCGCAAAGTTGTTGACCTCCACATTTGGAATATTAATGCTACCATGCTCCTCAACATCCGGAGCAAGGTAGTCAGACATTGATCTTTCAGCTTGGTTTCCTTGTTCCAGTGCCATCGTTCTCTGTTTTCTAAGTAAAAATAACGCTCAACAAGAACAACTCGTTAACCGTTTAGCCAAATAAAATAAAATAAAATAATAAAATAAAAATGGACTAGACTCCTAGAATAAATATTTCACTAATGTCAATACTAAACGCCACTTCCCCGGCAACAACGCCAATTTGATGCGTAGTATATTTGCAAACAAATAAATACTCGGAGTACGATTTATCGATCCACAGGAAAGTGGTTGTATTAAACAGTAGTTACTAATTTATTTTCAAAGGTAATCCTAACAATTGACTTGAATGATTGGTTGCATAAATTAAATAAAATAAAGCTATGATTCAGATGTTTCGAAAAAAAATGAGGAAAGACTGAGATTCCTGGGATTTAAGTGTTTATTCTCGTAGTGCCTAACCTAATGTAATATTAAATCTGGGTTCATACGAGTGTGAGGATGCAAAGTGGTTAGAGCTACTCCCGTAGTCACTAACACTGGTGAATATCCACTCCCATGCGATAACCACCCAATAAAACAAGAAAATGCATCATAATAAATCCCTAACTACTACCATCTCCCGAATTGGCAATAATCACGAATTAAATCTCCCTAATAAATTACCCTTTCCCAATGTACAATTGTGTATGCCCTAATTTATGCCTAACTCCCGTTCAGACATGAATATGGCTATGAAGCAAGTAATTACGGTCGTTTAACTACTAACAACAACAATACAAATCACTATTGCAACACAAGTATTAAACCCAAATAATAATATATTAAAGAATCTGAGAGCTCAGGCACATAGGTTCATAAACACTTTAACCCAAGAATCTCTAATGGAATTTAGCCAAGAATGGCTATATTATACATAGCAAATATAAATAAAGAAATTACAAATCATCAAAAGAGTACAAGAATGAACCAGACAATTCTCCCGAATCTCCCTAGTCTTCTTCTTGCTTCCCAAGATAACTTGTGGCTCTTGATTTCTCCCTATCTTGTCTTCAAAATATCTCTGAATGAATATTAGGGTTGGAGAATGTGCGATTTTATAGCTAGAAGCCCAGAACCAATCCGGACTGAAATTGTATCTGGACCGAAATTGGAAGTCTTTTAATTATTTTATAGAAATTGGCGCTATTAATTTAAAATTGAAGTTGGACTAAATTTTGCTGCTCAAATTGCTTTGAATTGGAGTTGACATGTGATTTGGAAATTGAAATCGCGCCTTAATTATTAGAACTGTACGTCGCGCCGCTCGCTCGACGCGTCGAGACTCTCTGGTCTCGTCCGGAACACTTTTTGGAAATTTTGGACGCGTTGAACTCGCTGTGTATGTGTCCTTCGGTCCACTTTTGACCCCAAATTTGTCCTAGAACTTCCCTTACTCATAATTTTGACTTACAATGGTTCAAAACACTAACAAACACCGTAAAACATTCAAAACAAGTGTGAACCATAACTAAACAATAAAAACAAGGGATTATGCAATTAAATACCAAAATTATGGATCCAAGCCTAACAAATATAATTAAATCAATACTAAAAATATGCACAATTAGACTCACATCACTGCTCTGACGCCACGCGCCGACGCGTGAGGCGTTTTCCGGTGACGTCGCTGGTCTGTTTTTGGTTCTCCAGTTTCGCACCATTGTGCTGATTCCAGGGTGGTGAGATATGTTGAAGGTTTTCGATCTGGTTGGGTCTTCTAATGAAAGAGGTACGAGCAGTGTATGTTTTCCTTAATGCATTAGGTTGTGGTGCTGTTTATTTTTTGAATTTGTCGGGTAAAGGCTAAAATGGCACAAGAAATGAATATCACTGTTATTTCCATGCCATCTAAATTAATTGACATAGTTCTGGCTCCAGATGGGAATAATTTTCCTGAGTGGAAATTTTTGGTTAAAGTAAATTTAGATGGTATGGGGAAGGGTGATCACTTGGAAAAAGAGTGTCCTACAGATTCTACTTTAGCTACGGACTGGAAAACTACTGATATAGCCTTAATGTCACGTGTAATTAATTGCATTGATAGGAGAATTATTTTGTCTATGCAACACTGCGAAACTGTTAAAGAAATATGGGATTTAGTGAACAAATGGTTCAGTGGAACTAGTAATTTGAGAAAGTTATACCAGTTATCTCAGGAAGCATATCAGTCTAACCAAAAGGGGCGTGAGCTTAGAGATTATTACTATGACTTTAAAAGTGTATGTGTTGCTTTGCGTGATGCGATGCCAATAACAAATGATGTGGATGAAATGAAAAAAAAACGTGACAAATTACTTGTTTTTAGCTGGATTGCTGGCCTGGATAAAGAATATGATGTCATTAGATCTCAACTGTTAGGAAATAAGGATTTAGAGTCTTTGGATCAAGTATTTTCCATGCTACAGAATGCATCGGGAAATAATGATTCAAACGAGCTCCATGAAAGAAATGCCTTTATGTCACAAGGTAATATGGATCCAAGTACTGGTGAAAATTATGGCTCTCGAGGAGGGGGTAATAACCGCTCCAAAGGATGTGGGGGTTCTTGGAGAGTTCGTGGAGGACGTGGAGGCCCACGAATTGGTGATCAACTAGAAAATCTGCTTACGAATGGTCTTAGTAGAGCCAGGGTTGAATATATTTGTAACAAGCTGGGCATGATTGACATCTATGCTCTAGCTTGAAGGGGAGTGTTAGATGAATAAGGGTTGTTAGAGTTTCAACACCCCATATTCGGTTAGAATAGCTTTCACCATCCCCGCTAAAGAAAATCAAACAATCATCCACAAAGAATAAATGAGAGACGGACGGGGCATTCCTAGCTATCTAAATCCGATGCAAAGCTCCCTCCTCCTCCTAAACCCTCATAATCGCACTTAAACACTCGGCTATCACTATAAATAGACACAATACATAGGTAATGAAGTACTACCATATAATTCAAAAGAGAAAATGCTAGGATAAGAGTAGAACTCTAACAGTATCCTCTAACTCTCTTTATTCATCTAACACTCCCCCTTAAGTTGGAGCATAAATGTTAATCATGCCCAACTTGTTACAAACAAACTCAACCCTGGCCTTACTAAGACCTTTTATGAACAAATATGCTAATTGATCACTGCTTCGAACATGAACAATAGAGAATAGCCCTTGTTGAATTTTGTCCCGGACGAGGTAAGAATCTACTTCAATATGCTTAGTGCGATCATGAAATACATGATTATTTGAAATATGCATAGCAGTTTTATTGTCACACCACAAAGGAACTAGTGTATTCACCAATACACCAATCTCACCAAGAACATTACACATCCACATTACCTCACAGGATACATGAGTCATTGCCCTATACTCAGATTTAGCACTAGAGCGAGAAACAACACTCTACTTCCAACTCTTACACGAGACTAGATTGCCACCAAAGAACACACAATATCCAATTATAGATCTCTTGTCACTCGGTGACCCAACCCAATCAACGACAGAAAAGGCTTCAACACTTACATGCCCATGACTGGCATACAAGATTCCTTTCCCAGGAGCACCCTTCAAATGCTTTACAATTCGAATTGCAGCTTCCCAATGAAGTTTAGTAGGAGACGCCATGAACTGACTCACCACACTTACTGGAAAGGCAATATCAAGACGAGTGATAGTAAGATAGTTCAACTTACCAACCAGTCTCCTATACCTCTCCAGGTCTTCAAGAAGTTCCCACTCACTAGTTACAAGTTTAACACTCTGGTCCATAGGAGTCTCATAGGGCTTTGACCCTAAGAGCCTAGAGTCTTCAAGTAAATCTAGCACATATTTCCGTTGTGAAAGAAATATGCCTCTCTTAGAATGAACAACTTCAATCCCAAGGAAGTACTTCAACACCCCCAGATCTTTCGTATGGAATTTCACTTTAAGAAAAGACTTAAGCGCATCAACTCCTCTTACATCATCACCTCTTATCACAATATCATCAACATTGACAAATAACAAAATACTGCCATGGTTAGAGTGTCTGTAAAATAGAGTATGATCATAGGCACTACGGTGCATGCCAAACACAGTGATTAAACCACTGCATCTCCAAAACCACGCTCTCGCAGACTGCTTTAACCCATACAATGATTTCCTCAACTTACAAACCTTCCATCCCCCCTCCCCCCCCCCCCCCCCCCCCCCCCCCCCCCCGAGCAACAAACCGAGGTGGTTTCTTGATATAGACTTCTTCAACCAAATCACCATGTAAAAATACATTTTTAACATCTAATCCTTTATATAATAAAGCTATATGGTTTGGGAAATAATTAATGTTACAATTAATGCCACAACATCCTTTATTATAAAAAAAAAAAGCACAACATTTAAAAAATAAAATAGCTATATATTATATAATCATATAAAAAATATACTTTTGAAAAATAAAATAGCTATATATTATATAATCATATAAAAAATGTGTTCAATTAGAGTTTAAATTTACACATACAAAATTTGAAATTTGCTTTCCCAAATGTAATTATCTTAGTTATTATTTGTATTGTGAAAATTATAATATAGATGAAATACAATTAAGAATAAATCAATGTAATTATGTAAATTATCTCTATAAGTTTATTTGAATATGCACATAACTAGAGATTATATTAACCATACAAAATTATAATTTTAATTTTAATTTTAATTACAATTTTGTATTCTATAAAAATAATAAATATTTGACCAATGGAAGCTCAAAAATATTATTATATTAAATAATTAAAATATTTTAGTTTTTCTATTTTTTATTTATATTTATAATAACATAATTTTTTTCCGTGCATCGCGTGGGTGAATTACTAGTTGATATAATGGCCAAGCATTAAGAGTAGCTAGAGAAATAAAAATTTACACAGAAGTTAACTTAGCAACCGGGGAGAAGGTTTCTATGTAATCAACCAAATAAGTGTGACACCCCGTATTTTCCTAAAATACTTATTGTCCCGATATTTAAATAAAAATTGGCTATGGTCTATTTATTATATAAACCATTATTTTAATACCAAAATGCCTTGAGCCCACAATGATTTTATTCCTAAGCCCAAATGTAACTATTTCCTATCTAGCCTTGAACCCAACTAGTCAAGCCCAAGTATTTAATCTACCTTCTAGCCATGACACAAAGTAACAAGCCCAAGTGTATTTAATCTTAACCCAGCTAGCCTAAGCCTAAACCCAACCTACATGGCCTAGCCTTCTATATTTAGCCTAACCCAATCCACATTTGGAAACCCTATCATCTTATAATATGTGTATATAGATGTTTTTTTTTTTAGCTAGCAGCCAAAAAATCACTTCGTTTCCATTTATCTTCCTCCCTTGCCGGCAGATTTTACCAGCGTGTCTCCTCCCCTTCGATGTAGCAGCAAGCAGCTAGAATTTGGCGGCCTTGGGTAGATGACAAAGCTCGGATGAAGTAGCAGCTCCGGCGGCGGTTTCTCTCCTCTCGGCGGTGAAGTTACCAAAGGTGACCGACTATATCACCTTCCTCTATCATTCCCGTCCTTCTCTGACTCCTTTCCTCATGTGCCAGTGTCCAGAGACGAGAACGGGTGGCCGACGTTGATGGAGGTGAAGCAGGGCGACAGCAGCTGCGTTGGTTCGGCGGTGGGTTCGGCAGTGTTCTTCCTCCGGCGAAACTGGGGCAGCGGTGGCATTGAGCGGTGGCCCTGGTGGAAGCTGAACATGTAACACCACCTAAAAACATGCTATATAAAAGCCTTAAACATGCAGATAACTGAACTAAACAACAAACACAGCGGAAGACTGAAAGATAGATAGATAGATAAAATCTGGAATACGGGGTGCTATGCCACATTCACCAAAAAGAGATGAACGCACAGGCAACATCTGCAATGTTTACATATAATCCCATTGTCTCAAAGTTCTACTTCTAAGCTGGCACACAGGCCACAAAACGTAAGGGAGAAGCTATACTAGCAAGTACTAGACCGCGCACTCACCTAGACATCATCTGAAAGAACACAATAAAACATGGGACGACGCCCGGTCAGCGAATAATGCTGGTAACCCACCAATACATGTGAAATAACATACATAGGTAATATATAAGTTGTAAAGCCATTTTCGAAATGGAATACATATACATAAGTGCAAAACCAAGAGTAATAGCCATCATAAGACTCAACACTCTCAACGATAACACGGGAACACACCCCACGACCACAAAGAACAACATGACTCACAAGAATTCTCAAGGCATGATCTATCATCACACAATAGATCAAAACCCGACATGCACAACACAAAGGAATAAGACTCACCCACGGCAACACATGCCAAGGCAACACTTGCCTTTGTGACTACACACGTCACTAGAAAAGAACTCACAACAACGGCTACACAAGACCTCGTGACATCACCCATCACGAGTTGATGTGCCTTCCTTATGCCCGGTTCCAACCTTATGGCTACCCCCAACCTTATTTCTTCTTCCAACCATTACCTCCAGGACCCCTGTACAACCAAGTCCAACATTTTCCCTCCTGGGACCGTCGTCCCCCACCAACGACCACCAACGAGACCACCAATTTCATAGTACACGAGGGTACCGATCACACACACGGAAACACATGTTACCCAAGAAACACGTGAACCTTACACAAAGGCCACAAACTCCATAATCGCGTCACGGCCACCACGAGGACCGCTGCAATACCTTGGTGATTAAAGCCCCATAAACCAAATCGTGCAATCCAGGTAAAGCCACACACGCATCACACCTCAACAGGAATCAATCAACGGATCACAACGAAGATATGAAACCATACTCAATCAAGTAATGGAACACAGTCCAACAACAACAACGATGAATAACACAAGTTATCATCAACCTATCGGAAGGTACAAACAACACACACGCTTGCATTTAGACACCAAACTAGCATGCTCATCAAACGGGTAAACCAAAGGTAGTTCCGAGGAACACACAAGACTCATCACTGTTCAACGAAACACAATGTTGAACACTTAGCACGATTCAAGACACCAAAACCTACATGGATACCTACCATATAGTTCTAGACATACGAAACATCAAGAAGACACTCAAATAGTTCCACAAAAGAACATCGGGAAGTCAAAAGACCAAATACCGAGTCAAAAGAATCACGGGGAATAAATCCCCCAACAACCATACATTGTACCCCGCGAGTGGACCCACGGGTAGGCCCCTACCCGCGGTTCTGCCCGCGGGTACATTCCCACGTCCGGCCTGTTCCCCGCGGGTGGGCTGCGGGTAGGCCACTGCCCGCCGTTCCGCCCGCGGGTACATACACCTGCACAAATAATCCCTTCGGGGATTTTCAAATCCAAGCTCAAATTCAAGTCCAAAACATGTCAAATCTCACCCAATACAACAAAATGACTTGAATCAAAGGAATAGCCAAGCAATGGCAAACATGAACCCTAATAACAAGCTCTAGATATGCATTTCACAAGAAAATGCATAAACACTCACATTTCATAGCAAAATCACATGTAGAATCCAAGAAATCACATATAGGTAAGCAAAATAGATTTTGTAGAGCATGAGTTACCTCTTGAAGACTAAAACCTTCACTCTACACCTCAACAAGCTCCTCACAAGGCTCACCTTCCAAACCCACTTCAAGAACATACCAAAAGATCATAAAGATCCTATCTTTAAGAAAAGACACCTAAGATGAAACCAAAAACACAAGATGAACTTAGATCTTACCCTCCTTGATGCCAAAATATATGAAAGGTTGAATCTTGGAAGCAACTCTTGAAGTTTTGGCAAGGCTCCAACTTGGCTTGGAAGAAAAGCTACCTACCTTTTTAGAGAGAAGGTGGAGCTAGATTTTTAGAAAGTGTAAGGAAAGAATGAAGATGGTCTACTAGGTTAGGTTACAATACTAACACCAAGTGAAAGGTCAAGAATACCCTTACTAACATAAGGAAGTGTAAGGAACAAGGGAACTCCTTACAAAGCTTAAGGTACAACTTTGACTTTGGGGTTGACTAGTCAATTACTAGTCACTGACTATTGAATTTTCAGGATTTTAGGAATTAATTCACCAATTGAAATAGGATTAATTACTCAATTAATCCCTTAATTGAATTTGGATTTCGGGGTGTCACAGAACATGTCAGGGGCGAGGCGCGACGACGACGGAATCGGATCTCTGGCGTTGGGTTGTTTTCTGGCGAAGCAAAGCAGGTGAGACTCCTCTTCCCCCTCCCTTGCTCCGGCATGGTGTGTTTGGTGGTTGAGCAGAGTCGACAATGGCGTTGTTCGGCGTTGGCAGAATCAGGGAAGAAGATGATGGTGTAAGAAGATTAATCATGGTTTAAGGTAAAAGTTTACTGTTAATGATGTTTAAGGTTAATGTTGTGTTAAGGGGTGATTGGAGTTATTATTGATTAAAAAGTAACAAGTGAAGTATTAGCTTAGTGGTAAGGTTGCATTTAGTTTTTTAAGTGGCCAGGGTTTAAATCCCTTAATAGCTTAGTTTAGTTTTTATTTTTTAGTTTTGATTATCTGAGCAAAGTATGGTTTGGTTCACAGGTTCGTTGTTGTTATCATTGGTTAAGAGTAAGCCTAAGGTTGGAGGATACATGCTTTTGGATTGCTAAGCTAAGGAGGTAACTCATGTCCTACTAAATCTATTTTATACTTGCTATGATGAATTTTTGATGTTCTTGAATGAAATTGTGCATATTCTTGTGTTTATGCATTATATTTTAGAGCTTGTATGTAGGGTTCATAAATGCTATTCTTTGAGCTATTCTATGTGTTCAAGTTCCTTTGTTGATGAGTATGAATTTTGAGGTGTTTTGGACTTGAACTTGAGCATTTTGGCAATTTCCCCCGAAGGGAATTCTCTCCCAGGTTTCGGTACATACGGGTAAACCGGCAGGCAGTGTTTCTCTCGCCGTTCCACCCGCTAGGTACAAGGTGGTGTGTAACACCCCTCTTTTTCTAAAACTAACTTAAATACAATTCTAATCCATAATTAACATAACTAAGCAGC